CGATACCATCAAATTCAATTACATTCAAATTTCCAAAAACTCTAAAATTTTCAGTTAAACAATTTTCTTCAAAAATTCATTTCTCGGGCTTGGGACCTCAGAATTCGATTCCGGGCATACACCCAAGTCCCATATTTTCCTACGGACCCTCCAAGACCATCAAATCATGGGTCCAAGTCCGTTTACCAAAAATGTTGACCGAAGTCAACCTGAATTTATTTTTAAAAGCAAAATTCATCAGTTTCATAGATTTTCACATAATGGATTTCCAGATACACGCCCGGACTATGCAAATAAATCGTGGTGAGACAAAAGGAGGTTTTAAGGCCTTAGAACATAGAATTTATTTCTAAAATAAGTGATGACCTTTTGGGTCATCACACTCGAGACCTACAATCATGGCCTCATATTGGACCTCATTATTAGTCAACCTAGAAGTTTTAATAGATTGTCTAATAATTCTACCTGTAGGTGGATTCAAAACGATGCCAAGCCCGAACCCTTTCACATTTGAGGCACCGTCCGTGAAGAGGGTCCATAGCCCCGATGATGTACCCTATTTTAGCAGAAGTTCTTTCTCCACTTCGGGCACGAGGGTTGGTGTAAAATCAGCCACGAAGTCAGTTAATATTTGAGACTTGATGGTCATTCAGGGTTGATATTCGATATTGTACCCGCCAAGTTCGACGGCCCATTTGGCCAATCGGCCTGATAACTCAGGCTTGTGTAAAACATTTCAGTGAGGATAAGTAGTTAACACACATATCGGGTGACATTGGAAATATGGCTTTAGTTTTCTAGATGCACTTATTAATACATATCCTAATTTTTCTAAGTGTGGATATCTAGTTTCATCATCTCCTAGAGTTAGACTTACGTAATAAATAGGGAACTGCATACCTTACTCTTCTGGAACTAGTACCCCACTTACTGCTATCTCGGACACTGCCAAATATAGGTAAAGCTTTTCATCTACCTTCAAAATGTAAAGCAGAGGTGGGATCGATAAGTATTGCTTAAATTCCTCCAACGCTCGCTGGCATTCTGGGGTCCATGCGAAATCTTTTTTTCTTTTTGAGTAAGGAAAAGAACCTGTGGCTTCGATGTGATGACCTCGAAATGAATCGGCCCAAGGCGGCTATCCGTCTTGTTAACCTTTGTATAGCTTTCACACTATCTACGATAGTGATATCTTCGATGGCTTTGATCTTGTCGGGGTTGATTTTGATTCCCCGACTTGGTAGCATAAAGCCGAGGAACTTGCTCGAACCACCCCGAAGGCACATTTTTCTAGGTTAAGCTTTATGTTGTACTTCCTCAAAATTTTTAATGTTTCTTACAAATGAGTTAAATGGACCTCTGGGCAGGGACATAACCAACATATCGTCAATGTAAATTTCCACTGATTTACCTATCTATTCCTTGAACATTTTGTTAACTAGGCATTGGTATGTAGCTCTAGCATTTTTTAGCCCAAAGGGCATTACATTGTAATAGTATGTTCCAAACTTAGTGATAAACGAGGTCTTCTCCTGGTCTTCCGGGTTCATCTGAATTTGATTGTACCCTGATTAGGCGTCGAGAAAGGTAAGGATCTCGTGGCCAACCGTGGGATCGATCATGCGATCGATGTTGGGCAGTGGAAAAGAGTCTTTAGGGAATGCCTTGTTCAAATCCTTATAATCTATGCACATTCTAAGTTTGTTCCCCTTTTTAGGGACTACAACTATGTTCCCCTTATAACCTGCTCCAGCTCCTTAACTGTAGACTTGGTTGTATCTGACTCTTCGGGAACAACGAAAGTTCGGGGTGTAAGGAAATCCTCTTCTTCTTTTTCGATTACCTATTTCTCTGCTTCGGTCGAGGCTGGGGACGGTGATTTCTATTTGGCCGTCTGCTTATCTTTGGTGCTCAATTTTTCTGAGGTTGAAGGCACTGGAATCGATGTTACCTCATCGACTACAAACATTTCCCTTGCAGCGTGTTGCTCCGTGTAAACTGTTTTCACACCATCTACTGTTGGGTATTTCATCATCTGATGAAGGGTTTAAGGTAATTCTCTCATGTTGTGGATCCACGACCTCCCGAGTAGTGCATTATATCTCATGTCGCCTTTGATGACATAAAATTTTGTATCTTGGATGGTCCTGGCCACGTTTACTGGTAGGATTATCTCCCCCTTCGTTGTTTCGCTCGCCATGTTGAAGCCATTTTGAACTCGAGATGCAGGTACAATTTGGTCCTGTAGGACGAGTTTCTCTACGACCCTTGATCTGATTATGTTTGCTGAGCTACCTCGATCCACTAGAATACGTTTAACTGGAATTTTATTTATCAAAGTAGAAATTACTAGGGCGTCATTGTGCGGCTGAGATCACTACTAAAAAATCTAGTTTTAGCGACGGATAAATTTTGTAGATAAATAGAGAAATCTATCGCTAATCTCATTTAGCGACGGATTAGCGACATATTATCAAGAAATTCTGCTAGCTACGGGCGATTTAGTGACAGATTAGCGACAACGTTCATAGCTAATTCCAGCCTTTTTTAGTAGTGGATATGCCTTCCGTTTATTGAACGATAGGACGCCCTCGGTTACATAGCTCCGAGTACATTTTTTTCTGGGGATCGACATATTGGTGTGTTTGAATATAGCCCCTTGTGGAACGTCGACACCGCCAACGATTATATGAATTACATGTTGTGGTACTTACTGCTCATTTTTTTCTCTTTACGTCTCTTTATCTGAAGGGATTCTTAGCTCGATCATCGAGAAACTATCGAAGATGACCCTCGTTGAACAATCGAGCTACCTCCTCCCTTAGCTGCCGGTAGCCTTCGGTCCTATGGCCATGTGTGCTATGATATTTACACATCAAGTTTGGATTTCTTTGAGAAGGAGCGGTTTGTATAGGCCTAGGCCACTTGGTGTCTTTGATCCTTCCAATAGCCGATACGATCCCTGGTGCATCTATACTAAAATTATACTCCAACAACCGAGGTGCCTTTGTAGGTTCGATATGTTTATCAAAACCATGCTTACTCATAAGTCCCTGAGAATTCTGTCATCGATCATTTCTCCAATCATTCTGATGGGGATTACGCCCTGAACCATTGTTTCTTCGCTCCGAGACATATGGCTGATACCGTTCCCTATTTGATCTTGGTTACCTATATGTATCCCTTGGGGCCTTAACCGCCTATCTAATTGGAAGAACTGAGCCTGAGGGGGCTTCTAGCTGGTCATCCTCGACCCTAATCTTCGACTGATAACGATTATGTACATCTGCCCAAGTCACAGATGGATATTCGACCAGATTTTGCTTCAACTATCGTGATGCAATCGAACTCCGCTCGTTCAATCCCTGCATAAAATCTTGCACGGCCCAATCATTCGAGACCGGTGGTAATTCTATTCGCTCCATTTGAAATCGGGATATGAACTCCCTTAGCATATCATCATTCCTCTGTCTTATCTTAAAAACATCTGATTTCCTTGTCGCAACCTTTATAGCCACGTCGTGTGCCTTAATGAAGATGTCTGCTAACATAGCAAATGAATCGATAGAATGCGGCGGTAGGTTGTGATACCAAATCATCGATCCCTTTGACATATTTTGCCTAAATTTGTTCAACAAAACCGACTCGATCTCATCATCATTTAAGTAGTTTCCTTTAATCCCGCAAGTGTACTAGGTAATGTGTTCATTAGGATCGATTGTACCGTTGTATTTACGTATATCGGACATATGGAACTTTTTAGGAATGGGCTTCGGAGCCGCACTCCTAGGAAATGGCTTTTACACGAATTTCTTGGCATCCAAACATTTCAAGACGGGGAGCGCTCCCGGTATTTGATCAATACGGGAGTTATAAGTCTCCACGTTTTTGTCATTATCCTCAATCTTTTTATCCCCCAACTCGATTCTCTTTGTACGTTCCTCGAGCATCCTCATAATCGTAGGATCAGCCCCCGACCCATTACCGTTTGATCTCTTTGGCACTGGTTCAGTTTGGCGAGTGACTTCTGGTTCGACCACACTTGGAGTTTTATGCTAACTTTGAAGCTGAGCGATAACAATCTGTTGAGCTTGTAATATCTCGAATATTACTTGGAGGCTAACTCCCCCGTCTCCTATACCCTATGTTCCTTGACCACCAGATCGGACTTCCCTGCGTACACTTCCCCTGGGGTTTGCGCCTAAATCTGCATTTAAAGCAGTGTGTGAACTAACATCGACTGGTTCCATATTTGGCACTTCCCCAGGGTTAATTGGTTGTACACCGGCTTCCGGAGCAGCTACATTGTTGTTTTTCCCATGAAATCCAAGACCATCATCTTCGTGTACGGGTGCGTTTTCTGAGTTTGACATGTTTTATCCTGAGAACAAAAATTTTTGACAAGAACAAGTGTGAAAATAATGTGTGTTCCCAGAATCAGTGCTGAAATAACCACTATTATCTTTAACCCCACGGTAGGCGCCAAACTATTTACCTCAAAAATACGAGTAACAATTAAACTTGTTTATGGTTTTAAAGATATGTGATTTAGTTCAATACTAATTAATAACCAAAAAATCTAACGTATAAATGAAAGAAGCAAGTAAAATCAAACCACTGTGCAAGCCAGTCTCGACCTCGAGCTAAGGTGGCCTCGAGATTGGTCAACCACAATAAAGTAAGAACAATAAAGTTAAATGAGAATTTTGATGAGTAATGAGCAAGAAAGTAAGAGAGTATATTCTATTGCCAATTATTGATGATGGTTACAAATGATTGGGTTCCCCTTTATATAGTAGGGGATCCCTAAATAAGGTAATTTTCTGTTTACAGTAAGTAATCTTATGTCTAACCGCCTAGTACGGATCTGTACTAACTCGTATAAATCTATTTCGGAATTTACGCCATGATCGTGGGGACGTGGCAGGAATCTTGCTCTTTCTGTTACAAATCCATAACGGCATCATCTAAGGGTTGGTCATACTTGGCTCCGATGTTTCTCAATCACTTAGATCTTCGAGCCTCGTATTTTGCCTTCGAGCACGAGCTCGGTCTATATTGAACCTGTTCTCGATGCGACCTCTCAAGCCTACAAAATCGGGGGAATATAATTTTGACCGTGTACACCTATTTCACTAGCTATGACCCCTTTAACAACTTGTGCAATTTTTTCTCTTCTAATCTTGTCATCATCAACTCTAACAATTTCCAGTGTCACTCCTAATTCTACCATCAACCTAGCATTCACTGGTTGATCAAGATGCATAGGCATTGCTATAATCGGACCCCCAAAATCAACACTTTTCATTACTGAATTCCAACCACAATGACTTATAAATCCTAGCCAATCAATAAGCTCCACATCACCCGCTTCGTCATTAGTCATTGGATCTTTGACCCACTAAGATTTTGACCACCCTATCGTGTTTAGCCTTTTTTCAAATTTTTACCTTGTCCAGTCTTGCCCCCGCCTATTATGTACTGTTCCGTTTAGATTCTCTTTCATTTTTTTCTCTTTGTTTTTTGTTTATTTTCAAAAGTTCGCTTTCGCCAGATGAGATAGTGATTGGATCAAAATCACACACTTGACTTAACTGAAGGATAAATAAACTCAGTCAAATAACATATCATGGAGAACTCCTTCATCCATAACTGGATGCTCCCAAAACTGGCGAGCAGGAAATAGAAAAAAAATGGGATATCCAAATTCATTATAATCTGAAGATCTTGAGTAGACGTGCATGTGTCATGCTTTCAGAGTAGTTGCCAAAAGAACTTCTAAAAAACACTCTGTCTTTTGTAGATACATGAAAAGTTACTAAGAACAGAAGTAGATTGATTTTTTCCTGTTAAATATATATTGTGCATTTTTATTAATATTAAGGGTATAGTTAAAAATAATTAATAAACATATTTAATCTTGATTTACTGAAGTGACCAATTATAATTTTTGTGCTAAAGTGAATGTTAATTTGGAAAGGAGGGAGTATAAATTTGAAGAAGATGATGCTGTGGAAATATTTTAAAATTCGTACTATTATTGGATTAATCAAGTAGCTAGAGAAAATTGAATATTATGTTATATCGTACTAGATATGTTCATAAAATATCTGCTGTATGAAAACTCCTAAAATTATGACCAGAGTATTTAAGGAACAACATCTACGGAACGGATAATTTTTTATTTTGTCACAATAAATTAATTTATGATTTTATCGTTCTGTCTATTTATTAGATAAAAAATATGAAAAAATAAAATAAAAGAGAGAAGGGTTTGGTAATTCAAAATTAAAGCTGCTTCTTATACAGCAACCCGAGCTTGAAGCTTAAAATTTGTGAAACAAATTGTATACTGTTAAACAATTCCAGCAGCTCCAAACCTTCAACTGCCGTGTCCTAACTGACCTAACCCATCAACTTTTTTCAAAAATAATATTTTGCCCCACCGGCTATCCCGCCCAATTTAGATTTTTCCTTGCCCCGCCCCGCCCCAATTGCTATCCCTAAATATTTTATGCTAAGCAATTGGTTATTGTAGACATCTAAATTTTGTTGGATTTAAATTTAGAATATTATTTGGGCTATATTTTTGAATTAAAGATATATTAGTTCAAATAAATTTACTGGCTAATATAATTGGATTAGTTATATAAGTCCAATGTATATGGATTAAATAAATAAGTCCAAATTCATTTGGTTAGCCCATTTAATTGGCCTACAAGTGATGAGCCAACTTCATTAAGCCCAAGATGTCATCTTCCTAGAGGCCCAGTTTGGTGCGATGTGTTAAATGACGTGGCACACCAAGTCAAACGGAAGAGCCAATAGGATCATGCCACATGTCAAAATGACAATGCATGCTAAGTCACATTAAAAAACCAATGAAACCGTGTCACATGTGCAAGTGACATGTTCTAGCCAATCAAATGCGGCCTTATCACAATTCAATTTGATTGGTCGAAAAGAGTTTGTTTTTATCACAACTCTTCCTTCCCACAATTATAAATAGGGGTATTCACAACCCAAAAAAGAGACCAGAAGTTATAACAAGAAGACGCAAGGGAGCTCGTGGATCAAAGGCCACAACTCTTTGCAAACTGCAAGTGTTCAAGCATTCAAGCACTTCAGCACAAATTTCAAGTATTCAAGAACAAGAATGAAGTCAAATCAAATACAAGGCGTTCAAGATCAAAGCTACATGTTCGTGATAAAATTTGTGGCAACAATCAAAGTGTTCGCGATAGATAAATCAAATTCAAATTCAAGATCAAGCTCAAATGCCCTTAAATTTCTATTGAAAAGAAGAATCAGATGAATTATAGAGATTGTAACACTCAAATATTTGAAATAAAATACTACGATTGTTGTAATATTTTTCAGTCTTGATTTTATTTTCTCGACTCAAATTTATTATCTATAAATTAAGGCACGCCTAGTGGGACCATCTCTACCTCCCATCTCTTCTTTTCCATGTTTAAGAACAAGATCTAACAATTCAACCATGAAAGTACAACTCACAAATTTGACTAAAGCACTTGAGAAGTTGACCAAGTATATGGAGGATCGAGATACTCGCCTCGAAAAGTTAGCAAGTCAGATCGAGATATTAGCATTAGCAAAATCAATTCAAGCACATGTGGATCTTTCCGAAGATAAAGAAGAGGGAGAATCCTCTGCGAGGCAAACGATCATGGTCAAAGAGATCCGAGTTTCTTCAGAAGGTTTAATTTATGTTGACTTATTGAAGGACTTCATCATGGGGACAATTGAAGATAAAATTGATCCTCCGATTAAATCTTCCCTCGCATATGCAAAGTCATACACACAACGGATTGATAACTTGAAGTTTCCTAGTGGATATCAACCTCCAAATCTTCAACAATTTGACGGAAAAGGAAATCCCAAGCAACATGTGGCGCATTTCTTCGAGACATACAAAAACGCTGGGACTTATGGTATTCATCTTCTCAAACATTTTGTTCGTTCACTCAAAGGTAATGCATTCGATTGGTACACAGATCTCGAACCTGGTTCTATTGATAGTTGGGAGCAGTTGGAGCAAAAGTTTATCAATCTTTCCTATTGCGCAAGACGCATTATAAGCATGATTGAACTTACAAACACTAATCAAGAAAATGATGAGCCAGTTATTGACTTCATCGACCGCTGGTGGAGCTTAAGTCTCAACTGCAAAGATCACCTTAGCAAAATTTCTAGCATCGAAAAGTGTATTCAAGGCATGCATTGGAGTCTTCGCTATATCTTACAAGGCATAAAGACCAAAACATTTGAAGAACTAGCAACTCGTGCACATAATATGGAATTGAGTATGGCTACAAGTGGAGATCAAATGTTTCCTATCTTTGAGCCTCATGATGAAATAGAAGCGGAGGATTCTAAGAATGGGGGCAAGTATTAATCCGAAGATGAAGCTGAAGAGTCCATGCATGTTGAAATGCTCCTCAACGCACGAGCCTAAGCTGCAAGTTATAATGCTTCTTGACGCATGAGCCTAAACTGCAAGTCGTAATGCTCCTTAACACACGAGCCTAAACAATAAGTTATAATGTTCATCAACGCACGAGCCTAAACTACAACTTATAATGCTCCTTGACACATGAGCCTAAACTGCAAGTCATAACGCTCCTTAACACACGAGCCTAAACTATACGTTATTATGCTCATTGGCGCATGAGCCTAAACTACAAGTCATAATGCTTCTTTGCACGAGCCTAGACTGTATGTTGTAATTCTCCTCAATGCACGAGCCTAAACTGCAAGTTATAATGCTTCTTGGCACATGAATATATATTAAATGTCACAAAGCTCCCCAATTTTGAGCCAAACCTCAAGAAGTAAAGCTCTTCAAATTTGAGAAAAGTTTTCAAGTTCTAAAGCTCTTCAAACTCGAGCAATGTGTTCAATTTGCAGAGTTATTTAAATTTGACCAAAGACTCAATTCGAAAGCTCTTCAAAGTCGAGCAAAGAGTTCAAGTTGCAACACTTTTTAAATTCGAGCCAAACTTCAAGATGTAAAGATATTCAAATTTGAGAAAAGTTTTCAAATTTTAAATCTCTTCAAATTTGAGGGAAGTGTTTAGGTTGCAAAGCTCTTCAACTTTGAGCTAAATCTTCAAATCACGAAGCTCTTCAAATTCGAGCGGAACTTCAAGTTGCAAAGCTCTTTAAAATTGAGAAGATCTTCAAGTCTCAAAGCATTTTGAATTGTAAGCTAAATCTTCAAACTACAACACTCCTGGAAGCTCTTCAAATTTGAGCAAATCTTCAAGTTGCAAAACTCCTCCAAATACAAGCTTAAATTGCAAGTCGCTATGCTCCTTAATGCAAGAGCATAAACTGCATGGTATTCCTTGCCCGCAAGAGTATAAACTGTATACGGTCCAAAAATAAAAAGAGCCTGCTAGGTTAAAACCTCGAAAAAGGCGGCCTAGGCAAAAGTTAGGACATAAAAAAATTAACCTATTCTAAACTACGAAATGACTTGATCCTCTTCACCGAGGTACGTAGGCAGCTTAGAGTTTCATTCTGAGTTCAGTAGCATAAGTTCAAAAGATACATGTTACCTCAATTGTTATTCAAAGGAAGAATGATGGAATATAATCCACTTGAATGGAACTTAAAAATCGGGCATACATGAACTTTGTGCCTTATCGAAAATCGGTGGTTTAATGGGGGCAAGCCTCCATAGCAAATTGGCATCTCTGGTGGATGGGTGTAGATTTTTAGTATAAGGCCATATCTTCAATTTGAAGTCCTCATGTTCGCCGGTCTTCATGTTAAATTGTATAAGCCCTCCAAATCTTCAAGTCCATTGGTCTTCAAATTGAAGTCCTTAAGTTCGCCGGTTGAAATTGAGTTGTTTAAGCCCTCCAATTCTTTAAGTTGTAGTCTTCAAGTCTTCTAATTCTTCAAGTTGAAGTTTAAAGTCCATCGCTCTTCAAGTTCACACATCAAAGTCTGCCGAATCTTCAAACCCGTCAATCATCAAGTTTGTCGGACTTCAAGTTGAGGTCTACAAATCCACCAAGTCTTTAAGTTGAGGCTTTCTAATCTTTAAATCTTAATATGGACATGTTAGTCCCTTTGCACCTTAAGTTTGTCTCTTCACGGGTTTGTCCTTAAAAGGAACTGCAATTTTTCAATCCTAAGGTGGACGTTGAAGTCCCTTTGCACCCTAAGTTGACCTCTTAGTAGGTTTGTCCTTAAAAGAAATTTTAATTTTCCAATCTTAAGGTGGATGTTTAAGTCCATTTGCACCTTAAGTTGTCCTCTTTATGGATTTGATCCTTCTATATGTTGATATGGATTTGTCCGTCTATATGGTGATGGAGATTTGTCCGTCTATATATTGGTATGGATTTATCC